AAGAAAATGCTCGGCAGTTTTCGGCGGCGAGCGAGGTTCGAACTTCGGGTTACTAGGTTTTTCGGGCGTTTGCGTCGCATCTCGGCGGTTCTCCGCCCTCGGGGGGCGTTCCAGCGGCTGCGCCCTGCCGAGAGCGTTCCAGGGATGCTCCGATCGTCCCGAGAGGCCGCCAGAGGCCCGAGCTATGGCCCGGAAACTGAGCTCGGCGGCGAGCGATGGGGGGGGAAGGGAGAAGGAGAAGGCCTCCTCTGGAGGCGGCGAAGCCCTCGCGGCTGCTGAGAGTGTTTCTGCGTCACCGGGGAATGCTCAGAAACGTCTCAGAGGGCCGGGGGACTTCCGAGCTTCGAGAGACACGGCGCGCCCCTTCTCGCCTCGCACCCTCGCTCGCCGCCGATGCGAATTCAACGCTGCCAGGAGGGTCGGAGAAGGAGGAAGGAGGGAGGAGCGGAGGGACGGCGGCAGCCGACGCTCAGCTCAACGGCGGGCCAGGCCGCGGGCCACTTCCTGGGCCGGGGACGGCCAAGGCCTCCTCCTCCTCCTCCTCCTCCTTCTCCTCCCCTTGTCCCCCCTTCCTCCCCCTCTTCCTCCTCCTCCCCCTTCTCCTCCTCCGCATCCTCCTCCTCCCTCTCCTCATCCTCCTCAACTCCCTCCTCATCCTCTGCCTCTTCCTGCAGCCGCTGCAGGCGTTGGGCGGCGTCGGGTGGCGCTGGTTGGCGCTGAGGTGGCGCCGAGTGGCGTCGTGTGGCGCTGAGTTGCGTTGAGCGGCACCAAATGGCGCAGAGTGGCGCTGGGTGGCGTTGAGTGGCGCTGCATAGCTCCTGGGAGTAGCGCCGGGTCGCGCTGAGTGGCGCTGACCGGTGCTGCTCGGCGCTGACTGGCGACGAATGGTGCCGAGTGGTGCGATGTGTTGCTCCGCCCGCGTGGCCGTCGCGCTGGGCGTGCGTCCGCTGACCTGGGCATCTATCGAGGCAGTACTGCTCTGGAGAGGCCGCAGCAAGTTCTACGCAGACGAGGGTTGTGCTCGATAGGAGTTGGGTTCCTGACCGAAGTGTTTTAGGAATTCCAGTGGTGCATCTCTGTCGCCTCCGGGGGGGAATCTGACCGGAGCCTGTTTGGGGTGATATTAACCCGGCCGGCGTTTTTTAGATTTGGCCTATTTCGAGTTCGAGCTATCATCCAATGGGTGCGGTGGAAAAAACAAGTTCTGCGCAGACGAGGCGCAGAAAGAAGGCTCTAGGTCAAGATGTGTTGTGCAAGGGGCGGCCAGCAAGCGCATCGACACCAAGCTGGCCACGGGATGCATGCTGTCGATGGTTGCATGTCTCGGGCGAGGTTTGTCGAAGCGGCACCCTCGGCCATCAAGGCATGGAGATCTTTTGGGCAGACGAGTGCAATGAAATGGGCAGGGAGAGGCCCCACCACTCTTGTTCAAATCCGTGTAGGACGCAACGATCCACTACATCAGAGTGTTCACAGGCTGGTGGAATACAGTAGTTGATGTTTATTTTCAGGCCAGGCTGTGACAAAGAGCTGGCAAGACGTATTTGCAAGGTGGCTAGGCTCCGAGTAGTTGCCAGAGTTTTAAAAAGACCGACGGAGACGTACGAATTGAAGGAGTTGTGGCAGCGACAATCGCCACTCTACTTGAAATGGGGTAGGGTCCTGTTGGTCCCTGGGACAGCGACAATGGGGACGGGTACCAGGCCTCCGACTCTATTATCCGTAAGGGCTTCGCCACCTGCCTCCGGCCCCCTCTCTCGGCGAATGGGCCACGGAAGAGCGAAGTCATGAGGGTTTGGCTTCGCCGTGAAGCAGTGTCGGGACCTGTTTGTTTTTCGACCCTGACCCTACGGATCTGCGTGAGGGGTTACGCCGAATTTCAGAAATGTGGCAAACCCCTTGTGCTTTTTAACCCTGACCCCGCCGATCTGCGTGAGAGGTGCCGCCGAATTTTTGTTGCACCCTGACCCTGTAGATCTGCGTGAGGGGTGCCACCGAATTTCAGAAATGTGGCAAATCCCCTCTGTTGTTGCACCCTGACCCTGCAGATCTGCGTGAGAGGTGCCACCGAATTTCAGAAATGTGGCAAATCCTTGTTGTTGTTGCACCCTGACCCCGTCGATCTGCGTGAGGGGTTACGCCGAATTTCAGAAAAGTAGCACATCCCATTTGTTTTTGGACCCTGACCTGCCGATCTGCGTGAGGGGTGCCACCGAATTTCAGAAAAGTAACAAACCCTTGTGTTTTTGCACACTGACCCTGCCGACATGCGTGAGGGGTGCCACCGCATTTGAGAAAAGTAGCCAATCCCTTATGTTTTTGGACCCTGACCCCGCCGATCTGTGTGAGGGGTGCCACCGAATTTCAGAAATATTGCAAATTCCCTGTGTTTTTGCACCCTGACCCCGCCGATCTGCGTGAGGGGTGTTGATTTTTACCCACCCCAGCAATTCAGGCAATACGTTTTGGCCGTGGTAAAAATGTCCGCTTTGGACCTCCCTCCTTCGCGCGGTCCATCAACAAGGAACAGTAAGCAGCAAGAAGCAGAATTGCAACAAGGAACAGTAAGCAGCAAGAAGCAGAACTGTAACAGTGGAAACTGGAAGCTGCAACTGGCACAGGAAACTGCAAGCCTTCGGCCTACAGCCTGGTGGCCCCACAAGGGGGCCGGCGGATTTAAGAGGGCCCGTAGGATATGACTACCCTGAAGGATGCATTATCGGACTTCCTGGACAGACTCTTGTGCGGCAAGGCCAGTGAGCATTGTAACGGCAAGGGAATGGAGCAAGGTGCGGAATCTCGAGATGCCAGGCTGCACATGAAGCCCCTGAAGAAGAAACAAGAGCAGAATATCACAGAGACATGCAGTGATGTCAGGCACTTTATGGACACGCACCCGCATTGCCCCTCTGGGTGGACATGAGATCGGTGCCCTCCTTTGCCCGCGGTGTAAAAATGTGGGGCCGGATGCACCTCTCAGCTGGGCTTGCAAGTGCAATGTCGAGTTCACTTTTGCCTCGGACATCCTGGTGAGACGGGCCCGGATAACAAAGCAATGCCTCGCTTCTGGCTGCGGGGGAGCCTCCCTGCCACTTGGACCAAAGTGGAGGAATCGCCCAGCGTGCCTGCAGACGCAGTTGTCATACAGACCTTACAAACATTTGGAGGAGATCTTTGCGGGTGGAGACGCCTCTGGCGGCGAACATTTTGCGCATCCGAGCATTCGAAGGATCGGATGGGCCTACCGGGTGGCGAAGGTGATGCGCGAAGGTGTTTTCAGCCTGGACATGGCACGTGGCAGTGGAAGTGGCACCACAGGCAAGCAGACCATCAATCGGGGCGAGATGACGGCCTAGCCGAAGTCTTGCGAGGATGTGTTGTGGCTTGGCAAGAAGATCATCCTCGTCACGGACTCGCCTTATGTTGTCAAAGGTGCCGCTAAGCTCTATATCAAGGAGGTTCCCCAACGACGAACATCGATATGTTGCAAAGAATCGGTGCGCTTCCATCGAAGGCAGATGGGAGTTCTCCACCTTGCCAAGATCGAAAGTCACAGATCGATCGAGGACGAAGCTCAGAGGGCCGGCGCATCATGTGAGCACTATTTGGCCAATTGCATGGCGGATGAGGCTGCTGGGTCTTAGGCCAAAGAAGTGGTTGTTCATAAGGCGGTGGCGGACTCGGGCGCGCGGCGAGGACGCACCTGGCGAGTGCTTTTTCTGACGCCCTCTGAGGCAGATCCCAAGCCGGTTGCGCCCTTCTCGCCCTGGTCCCGTGGCCGAGGCGTATCAAAGGCGCGCCCATATGCCCGAGGATGCGATGTACCTTGAACGGGCTTCGCCTTTCATTGCCACCAAGGGGGGTGCAGCGCGAGCGAGAGGAAGGTGGCACCTTTCCTGAAGGCGCCTCACTGGGGTGAAATGGTCAAAGATTCGATTCAGCGAGTGGCCGGTACCGGTGTGTCGGCGCATTGGATCCCGACCCATTGCGCCCATCTCCCAGGTTACTTTCCAGATCCACAGACCCACGCTTGCCTCAGATTCGGGTCTGTTGGCAAACAGGTCATCAGAGTTTTTGGTGTATGGCGAGCGGCATTTTGCCCAAGTCGAGAGTGAGACACAGGAGTGTGGCCGAACCTGTTGATACTGGGAGTACCTGCCTGCTGGGAGACACGGGGTCGGGAGCTGCCCCCACGGACTCAGCAGGAGATCGGCGTCGCGAAGGGGAAGCTGTGGGCGGGGCCTCAGCGATAGCTGATACTGGGGGTACGTGCCAGATGGAGAGTACCGAGTCTGGGGCTGCCCCCACGGGCTCGCAAGGCGATCGTCTACGCGAAGGTGAAACCCTGGGCCCTCTGGGCAGAGCCTCCGCAGCGCCCCCCCCCCGTCGGGGGGGGGAGACGCATGAGAGGGGAGGCCAGTTACCAGGGTGTTCTCTCCTTGGGCAGTCAGGGCTCGGACAGCAACACGGGAGGCAGTTGCCAACCTGCTGCCCCCACGAGCCTGCAAGGAGTCCCTACAGGTGAAGCCGATGAGGATGCTCTTGTACGCCAGGGTCAAGGCACGGGGCCAAGGGTTTCCCCCGCGGACCCTCGAGGAGGCGTTCTAGGTTTCTCTCCGCGCCGTCGGTAGTGGCACGGGGTCGGGGGCCTCCCCCGCGGATCCCGAGTGCCCCCGCGCCCGTGCCAGTGTGTGAGCCCGCGAGCGCCTCGTTTCCCCTCCTCTCCTTCCCTCCTCCTCTTGCTCTGTGTGCTGGGGCCCCTTTCGTGCCAGCCAGGGTGGAAAAGGGCCAACGGAGTGTCGAACACCCCCCTTCTCCCTCCCGCCGGCCTCCCCCTTGACCCCTCCCCCTTTCCCCCCCCCCTCCCCTTCCCTCCTTCACCTTCCCTCCCCTCCCCTCCTTCCTGCCCCCTCCTCCCTGGCCCGCCCCGTGCGAAGGGAGAGACCGCCTGCAGCGAGCGGCCCTATGCGGCCTCGCAGATGGTGAGCAACAAGCCCGAGGCGCAGACGCCAACGACTCCTCCTCCTCCTCCTCCTCCTCCTCCTCCTCCTCCTCCTCCTCCCTCCTCCACCTCCTCCTCCCTCCTCCTCTCCTCCTCCTCCATTCCCTCCTCCTTCCCTCCTCCTCCTCCTCTTCCTCCTCCTCCTCCTCCTCCTTCCCTCCTCCCTCTCCTCCTCGTCCGCCTCCTCCTCTTCCTCCCCGATCCCCCTCCGCCTCCTCCTCCTTCTCCTCCTTCTCCTCCTACTCCCTCCCTCCTCCCCGCTCCTCCTCCTCCTCTTCCTCCCTCCTTCCCTCCTCCTCCCCCTCCTCCTCCTCCTTCTCCTCCTCCTCCTCATCCTTTTCTTTTTCCTCCTCCTCCTCCTCTTTTTCCTCCTCCTCCCCCTCCTCCTGCTGCTGCTCCTCCTCTTCCTCCTCATCTTCTTCTTCCTCCTCCTCCTTCTCTCCTCCTCCCCCTCCTCCTCCTCCCTTCTCCTTCTCCTCCTCCTCCTCATCTTCTTCTTCTTCCTCCTCCCCCCTCTCTTCCTCCTGCTCCCCCTCCTCCTCCTATTCCTCCTCTTCCTCATCCTTCTCCTCCTCCTTCTCCTTCTCCTCCTCTCCCCCTCCTCCTCCTCTTCCTCCTCCTCCTCCTCCTCCTCCTCCTCCTCCTCCTCCTCTTCCTCCTCCTCCTCATCCTCCATCATTACCGACGACGCCGCCGACAGGGCCCAGGGCGCGTCTCTGCGGCAGCCGACGCGGCTGTGGTGGGGCGTTTCCGGCGGCGACAGCGGCGGCGGCGTTGCCGAAGTCGTTTCAGAAACGTCGACTCCCGAGGCGGCGGCGGCGACGACAACGACGAGGATTGAGGGTCGGAGGTCGGGGGGCGCTTTTGGGCACTGTCTGAGCCATCGGGCGCTTGTCGGGATGCTTTCCGGAGGCCTCCGCGGACCTCGGGACACTCGTGGGGTTTTCTGGAAGGGGCGCCGGCATCGGCGGCGACGATCGAGGAGGAGGAGGAGGAGGATGGGGAAGGGGGAGGAAGGAGAGGTCTAGAGAGCAGGGGGTAGGGAGAGAAGGAGGAAGGGAGAGAAGAAGAAGAAGAAGAAGCAACGTAATGATATTAGTACTACGATTATGCACCGTAAAGCAGCTCATCGCACGAATACGACTAGCACACATAATAGTAAAAGGGCTGTGAACACACAACTAATTAATCATGCTAGCTGCAATGCTAATACTGATCAAGATAACGATAACACGACTACGAACAATATCTGCACTAGAACAGAGCCCCACATATCACAATATCAAAAATAATATGTATGTCGATGTGAGAATATAACGAACCGTGGTATAGTTTACGGTGAAGGAGTATAGTGTGATATCCTAGAACCTAATCCAATATACAGTGTGTTAGAATACAGCACCGTGCATACTATCATAACCCAATGTAAGAACCATAATATAGTATCATACCATAGAGGTTGTCATACTGCTGTGTTAGATACGTGAATGCGACCTATTGCTATACCATCGAATGCAATAGCACGCAAACGTAAACAAACGGATATAGTATAGTAAGACACGCGATGTCACCACATAGCTCAGCACAGCGCAACTGAACATACCAGAACTTCCGACTATGTCATATAATGTGTTGCATCGGCGTATAACAGCGCATCACATGATACCATTTGTTACTTCATCATATAATGTAATAGCACACGCTGCCAGAACATACACGATAACATGATATATCAGAAATGCATGCTGCACTATTGCATGACATGGTAAACTGTGCAATGCTAGACTAGCTTGCATGACCATGCGACATAATACACTCTAAGCTAATCACTTAAACCATGTGAGAATAGTCGGGACAACAATGGTAACGGAACATAATCACAACCATGATAAATATACAGAAGAGGAGTTTTAATTTGTATACGATTGATAAGGAGAAGAAGAAGATGAAGAGGTGTCAGGGGGAGGAGCCTTCAGGAGGAGGTTGACGAGGAGTCGGAGGAGGGGGGTGAGCAGGTGCTAGAAGGAGGGAGGAGGAGGAGGAGGAGGAGGAGGAGGAGGAGGATCGAGGAGAATCGGAGATGAGAGGAGGCAGAGCAGCTGGATAAGAGGGGGAGGCAGAGGCAGCGGCGGAGGAGGAGGAGGAGCAAGGGGATTAGGAACAGGAAAGTGGGAACGAGGAGGAGGAGGGCGACGGTGAGAAGGATGAGGAGGATGAGAAGGAGTGCAAGTACAGTGGGGGCCCATGCCAAGAAACACCCTGCTTGCCTCCAGGGTGCCCTGGGTACCTTGGGTTTCGATGGTTTCGCTATGGAAAGCGTGACGCTCCCACATCAGAAATCATTGGACGTCCTGGGGTCTCAGGGTTGGATGTCTTGTGGAAGGTTTCTTGTGTATTGGCCTCCACCGCAGAAGGATGAAGAGGACGCAGAAGAGGAGGAAGAGGGGGTGGGGGAAGGAGGATGAGCGACTGGAGGCTTGCAGTTCTGGTCGATACAGCTCTCCAGACATTTTCTTTTGTCGGTCCAGAACTCCTTCGCTGGTCAACAACAGCGCAACTCTTCAGAGATCCAGAGACATTGCATCTGTCGCCGGGCACCCACTCAGGAGGAAGAGGAGGGCGGCGGCGGCGGCGATGGCTGCGGCGGCCGACGTCGTCCACGACGAGTGACGCCGACGATCACCACCACCACCGCGACGACGAGTACGAATGCGACGGTGACGGTGGCGGCGGTGCGACGATGGCGACGACTACGACGACGACCGTGACGAAGACCACCACTACCACCAGGGCCAGCACGGCGGCGAAGGCGACAACGGCAACGGCTGTGGCGAGGACGACTGCGCCAACGGTGTCCGTGGCGACGACGGCGACGGCGACGGCGACGTCAGCACCGACGACGGAGGCGGCGACGACGGCGGCGGCGACGGCGAAGACGTCGAGAACGACGGCGAAAACGTCGAGAACGACGACGACGACGACGACGACGACGACGACGACGACGGGCGGACGACGGCGGCGGCGACGGTGACGGCCGCCGCCCGCGGAGAGGCCAGCAGAAAGCAGCATGTGCCCAGAGGCCCACAGAGCGTCGGACGTCGCGCCCCGGCCAAGAAGGAAGCCGCTCGGAGCCCCCCGAGTCCCCCCCTTGGGCAGCTGGTTACACGTTGTTGATTTCCAACTCTTCGAAAGTTCTTGGATTGTTTGGGGGCCAAGATCCTCTCATATCTAACTGTTCTACCCCGGACCTCTTCCTGGCCGCTAGGAGGCCAGGAACACTTCGAAACCCAGCACAGTTAGAACTGAGCACGATTGGAAGTGAGCGACGTGTACCTCCTGGCCCGTTTTCCACGCCGCGCCCAGCCGCAGCGCCAGGAGCCTCTGGAAACGCACACGAGCCACCAGATTGAAGACGTCGGCTTCGAGCCTCGATCCTCACCGCCCCCTCTCTGGGTTCGTCCTGGCCGGGCCGGGCCCCCCGATCGATTGGTCACGGCCACGGGGGGTCCGAAGTGCGCCTCCCAGCGCCGGAAGCGACGATCAAATTGTAACCGAGAAGACTGCGACGACTACGACGTCGACCCTGACGGCGGCGGCGGCGGCGGCGGCGAGGAGGAGGAGGAGGAGGAGGAGGAGGAGGAGCAGGAGGAGGAGGGGGAGGGGGAGGAGGAGGAGGAGGAGGAGGAGGAGGAGGAGGAGGAGGAGGAGGAGGAGGACATGAAGGAGGAGCTCGGGTGTTCGGGCCGTTCCTTAGATGGATGCCGTGGGTCGACCCTGACGGCGGCGGCGACGACAACAACGACGGCGCTGGCGGCGACAACGACGACGACAACGGTGAACGACGTTTCCCAGGGGCCCTTGGGTGGCCCCAGAGGGCCCGAGAGCTTTCAGAAGTCGCAGACACCCCAAGACGGTAACGCCGACCTCGCACCTCGACAGCGGCGACGGAGACGCCGACGATTGCGACGACGATGCCGACGCCGCCGACGCTGAGGGCGCGTCGGCTATTCTCATTCCCCTCGCCCTCCCTCTCCGCCTCCTCCATCGCCGACTATTGCACAATCATCGGGCGTTGCGCGCTGTATGAGCTCTTGCGGGTGCCTAGGGCCACTCGTCTGTGGGCGTCGACTGCAGGCTTTAGGAAAGTCCGAAACATAATCAGTTTGATAGCGACCCAGGCCTCTTGCCCCATGGTCTGGTTGCGCCACTGCTGCGAATCCTGCTTCTCCTCCCCACCCTCCACCCTCCCCTTCCCCGCCCTCCCCCCTCGTGGCATCCGCCTGGACTCGAGTCTTCTGCGCCAGTTTCGAGCCCGATCGGTCTGTGAGGGTCCCGGGGCCCGAGAAGAGGCGAAAATGCCGGGCTCCAAGAAATTGAGACGCCAGGATCTCAGGGCACCTCCTCCTCCTCCTCCTCCTCCTCCTCCTCCTCCTCCTCCTCCTCCTCCTCCTCCTCCTCCTCCTCCCCCTCCCCCTCCCCCTCCCCCCCTCCCCCGAGGGGCTCCAAGGCGAAGGGAGCAGCTGGGGGCACCCCCTGGGCAAGGGGCACCTTCTATCACAACCCCCGAACTAGGGAGCCGTTCTTCAGAGCCCCACATCATCAGGGGTAACTCGGGTCAGGGCTAACTCGGGTTCCTTTTTCGGGAGTCCGAACCCGAGTTACCCCGGACCCGAGTTACCCCGGATAATTCGGGCGTCCAAGTTCTCCCGGGGGGTGCGCGTCGTGCGACGTTGGGGCCCGCAGTGCACCATAACGGTGCGGCGACAGGCCATCCGGTGAGGTCTGCGGAGGAACGTACCGGAAAACGTGGGAAGTGTGGGGGGGAGCCGAAAAGAACATGCAGGAGAATATGGGGAACTCTTGGAGTTGTGCCTATTTGTTGCGTGTCCCGGGGCCCCTTTGGCACTGCCCGCTGCCTCCTCTGCGACGTCGGGCGGCCAGGGCCGAGTTCCGGGATCTGCCAGCCCCGCGACGCCACGAGTTTGCTTCGCACCGTGG